GAAAAAGTGGAGAATTTTTGAGGAATCGTTTCTTTTAAACACTTAAGGAAAAAAAAATGTACAAGTAGTGGAAGTATAAGTAGTAGAAGTAGCATGTATATTGTAAGTGTAAATGTAATTATAACATTAGTAATGAAAGTAGTGTAAGTGCTCAGGCTGTAAATAAAATTCGATTCAAAAAAACAAAAACAAAAAAATGAGAAAATCAACTCGTGGGTTTCCTTTTCTTTCCTATATGAGTATGGGGCTCCGCTTGGCGGCCCCTCGGGCCGCCGGAGCTCCGCTACTACTTACAGAACTAGCCTTACTTACAAGATGACAATATCATGCATTATTTAGCTTACCGTTACATGACTTAATGTTCACACTAATTTTACTTCCAATTCTAACATAACTTACAATAGTAACATTAATTATTAATTAAAAATATCATGCATTTCTTACAATGCCGTAAATTAAGTTACAATGATACTAACAATACTTACAAAACTAACAAGATTTATTATTTACGTACAGTACATTAGCGACAAAAACTAATTAACTAAAATAAGTAAAGGTAATCGTATGAATGCGAGTACAAGTAAGGATTTACACTCCGTGTGATATTTGAAAATGTTCTCCATTTGAAAGAATTCTCAAATATCATGAGTAGTGTAAATCCTTAATTGCTCAAGCATTCATGCAAGTACTCATTTATTATATTACTTAGAAAATTGCGAACGCGCGCGCGTTAATTTGCACTGCAGTGCAAATTAAAAATTGACGATTAATTGGCCTCCTCTCGGCCAATCACAGTGAAATAATTTTCCTAGTCATATAATAAGGGGAAAAAATAAATAATAATAATAATAACAATATTGCCTTGACTCCTAATTATTTCTTTCTTAGTTTCTTTCTTTCTTTCTTTCTTTATTTATCTAGCCTTGGAAACCGCACAAACAAGATACGCTCAGTGATTTCCGTTTGTGTTTGTTTTTGTTTTGTTTTTTTATTTGTCGATCCTTCCTTAGCTAGCAGAAGTAATAATATATTCAAATATCGCTTTGAAAAACAACCGTTTTAGAACGGTCACGTACGCGACGATTATCAGTCCGTGTATAGGGTTGTCGGACGTAGCTGTAAGCATTCATTCAAGTGGGCGGTTGGAGCTAATGGCTGCATAGAATAAACTTCTCGTCAATACATTATGTCTTGGTTAAAACACAGATTCCTTGTTTGGAGAACTTGTAAGCAATTAAGATACTGCGCTAGACAAAAACAAATTTCAGCGACAGTGATTTCCTTGAATGACTTCACTCTTTTATTCTGCACTGCAACATCGGATGATGATGTAACCAGTACCAATCCACTTTAGTTCTCAGATGTACTTTTGTCAGATATAAAATGTCAAACGATTATTTTATACATGGCGTCCTCGAGCTGAGAGAATTGCAACAAAACTACGGCGAAGTTTTGAAAAACAACATAAACAACTCCTGTTCATTCTCAGTAAAAATAAAAGAAAAGAAAAAGAAAAAAAGATTCTCTGTTTCGGATTTGAGCCACTGACCCCGAAACGGTAAAACAATACTGCACTCCTGCGTCTTAACACTTGAGCTATAGTAACGTGGCACGAAAACATGATGCAATTATTTAGACTTTACCAATTGCGCATAGAGACGCTTTACAAAATTGCAGTTCCTCAGTTTTAAACAAATCCAGAAACAAAACAAAAAAAGCAGTTTTAAAGTCAATGATGCAGAGATGATGCTTGTAAAATTTCAGATCTGTGCCTTTAATACTCAAGCTAGAAAAAAGTATTTGTTAAATAACAGAGTTTGTATGGGAACGCTATAACAAAGAATGTATGGGAACATTCATTGCTAATTACTCAGCTATAAAAAATTAAATCAAAAAAACAAAATGAACAGTTTTAGGGTAAAAGATACAGAGACGATGTCTGCATAATTTCAAATCTGTAGCTCAAGTACTCGAGCTATATAAAAAAAAATGTTAAATGACAGAGCTTGGACATGTATGGGAACGTTATTAATATACAGCCATATTTGCTAAATTACAGAGCTTGTATGGAACGCAATTACAGAGAATATATGGGCACGTTCACACAACTGCGAATTTCTCGGCTATAAATGTTTTAATCCGAAAACAAAAAATAATAGCCATAATACCAGTCATATAAAGATACTTTTTACCAAATATTACAAGAAAAGGTCCAATATTGGAGCTATACAAATTATTTAATTATTTATTTTTATTTATTTCATATTTTGTTTGTGTAATTATTTTTCTAACCCGGGCAACCAGTTAAACAAGATACGTTCAGTGATTTCCGTATTTTTGTTTGTTTCATCGATAAGTTGTTTAAGTCTAGGAGGGAGGAAACGTTAAACCAATCTTAATAAAACGTTAAACCAATCTTCATCCTTAGTTTAGTAAGTTTTAATCGACTAACTGGTCATTAAGGTAAAATCAAAGTGGCTATGAGCCACTCAACTTGGAAAATGGGTCGTCTATAAACAGTGACAATTTTGATGCCACTGACTTGAGGTTTTCATCCGTAGTTAAGTCGTTAAAGTTAAAGCCCACTAGCATTGTTAAGAAATTGTGCAAAACGCAACGGTAAGAGAATACACGAGGAGATGTAAAACACTCACGTTTTCCATCGAGCGCGCGCAGATTACTTGAGCTTTCGTCCTATGCGCGCGTGCGATCGTACTTGAGTAGTATAGAGGGGATTAATCAAATACCGTTTCGCAGAGGGAGAAGTATTTCCCCGTTTTACAACCCCCAGCTTTAATTCCGAAGCTCGCAAGCTCGCTTCGGTTAAACCAGGGGGTTGTAAAACGGGGAAATGCTGGGTCCCTCTGCGAAACAGTATTTGATTAATCCCCTCTATACTACTTGGGAATTTTGAAACCGGGAGGGCTTCCAATTAGAAACAAACAACCCTGCTGTTATACCATTCGAACATAAGCGATGATTCGAGCAACAAACAAGTGTGCGTGGTTGATGCGTAGTCGGAAAGAAAGCTGTCAACTTTCCGAGGCCATTCAAAACCTCCCTCCAGAGCTTCGTGAGATGATTTACAAGGAGTATCTCGCGATAAAAAGAAGGGAAAGAAAGGCAATGGGCTGGGACGAGGTACATGACGAGATTGAAGAGGCGCCCTTCTGTGAAAAACGATCAAGAATTGTAAAGGTCATGTTTTGCCGTAAATGCAACTCCTGTGGCCTAAAAGGACTCTGTTACGAGCGTTATAAAAATGGAGCAAAACACTATCTCGGCTCCCAATATATGACGAGAACGACTACGCCGAAAATCTTTCAGAAATTTTACTGAGCGGCGACGGTATAACCGTCGTTCGAAGCAAAAGTTTTGTTT